TATTGGCACACTGGCTCGCAATGTGTCCTCTTCCATGGAATTAGAAAGCACGAATTTCCCCCGACGATCCACCTTTCTTCATAACTGGATTTGCACCATCAGCCCTTGCCGCGGGTCTATGAGCTTCTTTCACGGGCAGTTGCGGCTTAGGGTTGGTTGCAACTCCTTGGCTCGAACGTGTGGAATTCGTGCAGGGTTGAAACCTCCAATTTCGAAGCTGTCGTTCCACTTTACTTGCCATATCCACAAAACCTTCAAGTTCAAGGAACGGTTGTATCTCCACCATGTTCTTGATCTCTCGATTGAGACCATACAGAAAACGAGCTATGGTAGCCTCGCGGTCCTCTCTCACATCAGCACGTATCATCAACACTTCCAACTCCTTGTGATACTTGCTACGCCGGCTCCAGAGTCGGGGTGTGGCGAAGAGGAGGCAGGCGCATTGGACGACGCGCCTGCAGTGGATGAAGACAACACTAACTTTGACTTACCCTTCTTTCTCTAGGCGGAGGGCGCAGACGACCCTAGGGCGTCTGGCGCCGGGGAACCTCATGGTGCGCCGCGGCCAAGGCCTAGCCTTGACCTAATGATATCTGTTACTGAGGTGAAATCGGTGTCTGAGAGAAACAAAGTCAACAGGTTAGCAAAAAGAGTAGGTGCGCATAACAACAGGCGCATAAGGCACAGGGGAACGACGCAAGCAGAACTCCAACAAATACCATCATTATAAAATTCAGCAAGAAGTCGGACGTGTTCATCATCGTCATCTAGGTCGAAGGGCTCCTCGGAGAGGCGCTTGGCCATGACCAACTCTGCCTTGCTCAATGGAGCCGACTTGTTGAAATAATGGGCCGTCCCCAAGGACCACTCAGTCACTGCAGGGCGCCCACTCTCGAAGAAGGGCGTCTCGCGCGGATAGACAAAAAAGTATGAGTCAAACCATGTGCGCCCGATCTTCTAACAGCCGATGATGAACCCATTCCCTAGTTTCTTACGCTTGTGAAGGCTCAGGCAGTTCGAGCTCCTGGACATGGTGAAGAAATGGTTTAAAAGCTTGAAGGTGGGTGGTATGTCAAGTTGGTGGCACTTATGACGAAAAAGGATGGTGTACAAAATGATGGCGGGGGAGAGGTGCCCAAGGGGGCACTGGCAGACATCGAGAACACCCTCAAGAACAGGGTTGATGGGGAAGCGTAAGCCAAAGCGCAGGAACTCTTGGTATATTCTTGTGCAGCCGCCTTCGCCGAAAAACGCCATTTCGTGCCTTTGAGGTCGCATGCGCATACCGCCAAGACGCTGGCGTCTGGGCGGCTACCAGGAGTTTCTCCAAGCGCACTCGCACCAGCTTGGAGGGGTGCTTAGAGTCAGCCTCTTCCAAGGTCATCCCCGTGACGTTCTCCAGCGCATGCCCTGGGGGCCACACTGACTCCCATGAGCGCAACGAATAGTCTCACGACACGAAATGGCTTGGGTCATACGAGGGGGGTAGGGGGCAAAGATCTATGGTTAGGTAAGGAAACAAGTGTGGGGACGATAGAGGAAGGAGCATAGTGCAAAGAAATGAGGGTAAAAAGGGGGGGGGGGTGCATGCTCTCAAAAGTGCATATTCAAAACTAGAGGTGGCGAGCAGCATCAGCAGGCGCAGGGTGCGAGTTAGCATCCGCATGACACGAGGAAGAAGGTTGTTGCGATGACATGGCAATGGGTACATGAGGCTGAAATCCGCCGAGAGGAGCAGCAAGGCCAAGGAATTGCAATATGAGATTTTAGAGAGAGAAAGAAGAGAGAAGTCAGAGCAAGCAACAATGAAGAAGAAGTGTTATTTTATAATTTGATTTTTACAACCCATTTTCATATCCGACTCTTTGCTCAACAACCCATGGTCCAATCCTCCATTCTTGTCCACCTCTTCCTCTGCCTCTTAAACACGAAACCCAGCCCGCCTTTGCTGTCTTGTTCGCCTCTTTCCCTACTGCCAAAAGTCCAAGGAAGTCTGCCTCGCACACCAAGACGGCAAGACTGCTCCGTCACTGATCAGCGATCGATGCTTCTTCTCCTTCAGGCGACTAGACATCAACTTCCACACACTTCCGTCTCTGCTATAGGCTGTAGTTGGTTAGTCCATATGGATTTCAATTTTATATTTAACAATATGTAGAAGATTTTTTGGTTTTACGGAACTGGGAATGAAAGGAAACTTGGGGAAGTTTGAAGGGATTAGTTAGGCGTTAGTTCATTGTTGATTAAAATATATGTTTTTTGTTAACAATGAGGGAAAGCTTAAAAGGATTAAACAAATGGAAAACATTACTTAATTAGAAGAGAAGTAGGATGGAGAATGCTCTAATAGTCGTGGGTGTAAGTGGTTAGGAGGGAATAACAGTAATCTCAATTTATGTTTGTTCTTGTGCATCTGTATGACTATATTCAAATACAGTTCTAATTTTGATTGTATTTTGTATGATTAATTGATTATGCAGATTTGAAGATACTTCATCATGTTATCTTCAGAAGCACCAAATATAAAGGCAAAAACAACTTTGTTTCTTACTATCAACACAAGGAATCTGAAAAGTGTCAGGCCGAAGAAGTCACTCCTAATGAAGGTCAACCATCCTCCTCTCCAGTGCAAAACCAATCATCTACTTCTCCTCTATCCGGTAATGTACATCAATCATCTGAGAATGACATTGAAATTGAAAGAGATTCAGAAAAGAGAAAACAAATGTGTGATTGGGCTATTCAGTTAAGAAATGAGATGAGGAGAAAGTACCTAATACACAAGGCTTATCAACCTAAACTGAAGTATTATAGGCCCCGACAATATCCAGATAAAATTCACCTACAGCAAACAAAGCATATTGTTTCCCATGCTTTTTGTTTAGAGTTAAGATGCATGAAAGTCAAACTTCTGCATTAGTGCAAGGTGGATTTGATAATTGGAAGAGGGTTATGTGTTCCTTCTTCATGTTGGTTCATCAGCTTCTTCAGTTCATAACAAATGTGTTGCAGCGTCTTATGCCTTGATGAAACCCTCTGGTCATATTGATAAAGTTATTCAAAGAATTAGCTGAGTAGAAGTTCTAAAGCATCGACTACGGTTGAAAACAACAGTTATGGGTGTCAAACAATTGGCTTTACAAGGGAGTTCTTTTAGAGGGCATGATGAATCTGATCATTCTTTGAATCCGGGGAATGTTCTAGCTTGGAATTGTTTTGCAGCGAAGTTGAATGATCAAATCTAGAGTGTAGTTCTTCGTAATGCACCAGGGAATGCGAAATACATTTCACCAAGCATTCAGAAATAGATATTGGGAATCATAGCAAACAGAGTGCGTTGTAAGATACGTGATGAAATTGGGGATTCTTTTTTCTCTATCCTTGTTGATGAAGCAGTTGATGAAGCAGGAAGGGAACAAATGTCTATTATTTTGAGGTATGTTAGCTCTTGTGGTACAGTAACTGAACGCTTTTTTGCTCTCAAGAGTGTTGCCGAAACTTCTGCAGAAACACTTAAACGAGCTATTTGTCACGTCCTCTCTTAGTTGACCTTCGAATTGAAAATTGAGAGGCCAAGGATATGATGGTGCTAGTAATATGTCATGACATTTTTAATGGAGTCAAGGCATTATTTCTCAGAGATTTCCCATATGCCTACTTTGCCAATTGTTTTGCTCACAGATTACAGTTGGCATTGATTACTTCTGCAAAGGTATACGATCCTATATGGGATTTCTTTTGCTTAATGGATTCTATCATAAATGTTGTGAAGGCATCTCCTAAACAATTCACAAAAAATATCTCAATGGTATGTTGGATGCTGGAGAAATTCAATATGGACAAGGAGCTAATCAAATGATATCCTTAAAGCGTTCGGGACCAACTCGTTGGGGATCTCATTATCATTCCATATTGAGCATTATAAACATGTTTAATGCAACTTGTGTAGTGCTAGAGGATCTTAGCCGTTCTAAAGAAGGGATGCAGCGAGCTCAAGCTAGAGGTGCTTCAAAAAATATCAAGACTTTTGAGTTTGTCTTCAATATACACTTGATGAAGGGGATTATGGATATAACAGATTTTCTTTGTCAAGCATTTCAACAAGAATCTGTTGACATTGTAGCTGCAGTTGGATTTGTTTCCATAGCAAAAGTTAAACTTCAAAAGCTACGTGATGAAGGATGGGATAAGCTAGTCCAAGAGGTAAACTCTTTTTGCTCGAATCATGCCATAAAGATACTAATGCTACACTTGGACGTGGTGAGAAGCAAACAACTCTTGAGCATCGCTACCACTTTGAATACTTTAATCAATGCATCGATTTTCAGCTGGGAACATTGGAATCAAGATTCAACGAGTCATCAGTTAGATTGCTTCAGTTTAGTGGTGCACTTTATCCTAAAAATTCTTTCCGGTCTTTTGATGAAGAAAATATTTACAAATCCTCAAGACTTTAAAGGGAACGAGATGCATTACTTGAAGAATGAGCTAGGATTTTATGCCGACCATGTGGTTCGTAGTCATGAATATGAGGTTTCTTCTCTTGCAAAATTACTAGAGAAGCTGGTGGAAACAGAGATGGACACAAAGTACAAGTTGATATGTCGGCTGATTCATCTAGTGTTGACGTTGCCCGTTTCAACAGCTGCTACGGAGAGATCTTTTTCAGCAATGAAACATGTGAAGACTGATTTATGCAACAAAATGGGTGATGAATTTTTGGCTGATTGCTTAACTTTTTTCTTTGAAAGAGTATGCTATTGGGATGGATTAAGACTTAATTATTGATGAATTTGCTAAATTGAAAAACCATCGTGTACAATTGACATTGTAATGAAACTATAGTTATTATATATTTTCGTGTACAGTATCTAATTTTCTGTTGAAATGAAGCCCAATACTCTACTATATATTGGATCCGCCGCTGTTGGTAAAGCCAAATTTCTCCACATCTCCACCCAAGTCTATACAATATCTAAAACCCAACCCTCCCGCTCATCCTAGCTCGATAAAGCTGGATTAGTCCCAAAACACACCAAAATCCCACGATCAAAATTCTACTAAATTCGTTCTTTATAAAAGCTGATTTAGCAGAGCAAATCCCACTCAAATCAATACCCATGCTCAAAGTAGTCCAAACAAACCAATAGTTACACAAATGTACATGAGGGAGGGGAGGAGAAGAGAGAGTTCTCGGTTAGTACACTAAAAAAAAAAAGAGGAAACTGTGAAAGTACACTAATTTCAAATACTTAAAGTAAATTTCTCCAGTCGATAATTGAAGAAAATAGGCAAAACACGTTTTTCAAATAGTTCACAATTCGATTGTTAGATAATTTGTAGACAACAGAAGTAGGTGTATAAGACCATCCGGATTGATATTTGAAATACAACTGTATGCTACACCCGAATAGAAGGTCAAGTGGCGGCGAAGATGAGAAGGAAAGTTGACAAGGTAGGGAGGAGGGCAAGGATGAGATAGGGTTGCGACATGTTAATTTTTTTTAATATCAATTAATCGTAGAATATGTGGATAGTAGAAATATTTTAAGTTTTTTATGCTAACTAGACAGTGACATAATTGTTAGTCAACGGTGTTTACCATCAAAGATAACAGTCAATACCCGACTCAAGCCAAATAAATCATTTTTATTGATAGTATAAACCACGATATTATATAGTGAAATGATTGTCGAGGATGTTAAAGAAGGATAAATTTAGGATGAGACAAAAATATAAACCCTTATTTGAAACATACCATTCATTTTCGAGTTTCGAGGGTGGGCTGTGGGCTGGCCTGCTCCGTCTGAGATCAATTAGCAATTTGGTCACCGAAAGCTGTTGTATGTGTCATGTTGATGCCCTGAATTCGTTAGCCTAGTTATTCTGCGGGACCGGTTACTATGACAACACCCCTTGTGTTGTTATTGTAACAACACTAGTCTCCAACCAATAGGAAGCTAGGGTTGTGATGACTTTTTATTAGATGAGTTGACCTAGTGTAAAATCAAAGCAGGGGTATAATTGTCATTATGAAAAATATGTTTAAATAATAATAAAAAAATAAAAAATAATAAAAAAATAAATTTTTTTTATTTTCGGTCCAAAATTTTGGTCGCCGGAATTCGGCCACCAGTCGCCGGAATCTGGTCGACGGTCACCGGAATATGCTATTTTGGCGCCGGAATATGCTTACCGGCGTCGAAATCTAGTCATCGGGGCCGGAATATGCCTATCGGCGTTGGAATCTGCTCACTGACGGTCACTGGAGTTCGGTCAACGCTCAACGACCACCGGATGTATGGTCTACATTGTGAGATTTATGGTTTGGTTTCTCATATTTTCGTATGCCTTTTGTGGTTTGCTTTATCGTGTTTGTGGTTTGCATTGAGAAGTTTCTGGTTTGCTTTATCGTTTTTGTGGTTTGCATTGAAAAGTTTCTGGTTTGCTTTCAAAAAATTTGTGGTTTGCATTGAGGGGTTTCTGGTTTGTTTAAATATATTTGTGGTATGCATTATGACTTTTATGGTTTGCGTTTTTGTGGTTTGATTTACTGTGTTTGTGATTTGTAATAGGAGGTTTCTGGTGTGCTTTCGCAAATGTTGTGGTTTGCTTTATGGGGTTTCTGGTTTGTTTTAGGAGATTTGTGGTATGCATTAGGAGGTTTCTGGTTTGCATTAAGAAGTTTTTGGTTTGTTTTATCGCATTTTGTGGTTTGCATTAGGAGGTTTCTAGTTTGTTTTAATATATTTGTGGTCTACATTAAGACGTTTTTTGTTTGCTTTACCGTGTTTGTGGTTTGCATTAGGTGGTTTCTGGTTTTTTTTTTTTTTTGTGGTTTACTTTACATCATTTGTGGTTTGCATTAGGAGGTTTCTGGTGTGCTTTCGCAAAATTTTTGGTTTGCTTTGTGACATTTGTGGTTTGTTTTAGGGGATTTGTGGTATGCATAAGAAGATTTTTTGTACTTTTTTTTAGTTTGGTTTACCGTATTTGTGGACTGCATTAGAAGGTTTCTGATGTAATTATGAAATACTTGTGTTGTACATACCAATAAATTCCAAATACATAGTATAAACACAATAACCCGTAAAAAAATAGAAAAGCACGATCCTCACGAACGTTGTTGTCAACTTCGATAATCTTGGATCCAGCCAAGAATTTGGCTAGAAGAAGCATCATTGTGACGATGCTTCAAGCACAATAGTGATTTCACCGTAATAGAAATGGAAACTCTGAGATTATTTGGATTGTCGTGCATTGGGCGGCGAATCGAACTAATTTGTTTGGATGCTGGGAAAGTTGGGGAGTGGGGAAGATTTGGGAATTGGGAGATTCATTTTACTTGTTTTGGGGTTTATTTGTCTCTTGCACTTTGTGAATGTAGAGTTTGTGGACTGAATGGGACTGTTATTTATGGCGTAAGAGGACTAAGATGGTTTCTGGGTAGTGGAATGGTCTTATGCTTCAATACATGATTATTATTGGCTGGTGAAGGGTTATAAAGTAGGAGATGAACATGCCATCTAATTCATGACCTTCCACTTCCAGGTGGAGTGAAGCAATGGACAGTGGCTCCCCCATCAACGGCAACAGTCTGGCCGGTAATATAAGAGGCCGCCGGAAGGCAGAGGAATGCAACCAACCCTGCCGCCTCCTCCGGCTCTCCAGTTCGTCCCATGGGAGTTCGAGCTCTCACTGCCTTTGAGAACTCCTCGCTCTCAAAGTACTGCAAAACACAACATAAAACGAAACGCTACATTACAACATTTCAATAGCTGCTGCAAAGCCAACTTCATAAATCTCTCCATTCCACTTAAAAACAGAGATTTTTCAAGCCATGGTATTCCACAAAACACTATCACCAAAACCGCTGCTATCGTCTAGATTTCCTCCCTCTCCCATCGGATTCCTCCGCCGCCCGGCGAATCTCGTCCTCCATCTCCTAAGGTTGCTAGTCATCACTCTGTTCCAGTATTCCCCTGCTGCGCTGCTACGACGACCATCAACCTCCTCCTCCTTCTTCGTCTTCGTCTTCCTCCTCTCCTCGTGCGGAGGATCCAGATTCAATCCACTCTCCGCCGCTTCATTTACCACCAACGGACCTCCCCAAGCTTTTCCAGGTTCACTCCTCTTTCCCTCTCCCCTGCTCTGGGGAACGATTCTCAATTTACGAATCCCCTCAGCGCACTGAATCTTCTTCCTGTTGATGTGGTCTCCGCCGCCGCCGGATTTACCCTTCTTAGGACGCGGCTCGTTAATTGACCGGCTCCAAAAAATCACTATGTGGGTTGTGAAGGAGAAGCTGATGGTGGCGGAAGAGAAGCTGATGGCGGCGGAGGAGATCGAGGTCTGGTAGGGGAAAAGATCTCCTATTGCAACTCCTCGGAAGAGCGTCGCCTGTGTCTTTTTAATTCTAATTTTATTAATTTTCTTGTAAGTTTACCCTTATACTCTTGTTGTTACGGTAACAACATAATGGGTGTTGTTATTCTATCCGGGCCCTTATCCTGCTAACTTGAAGATTTGTTAGTATATACAAATTAATATCCAAAATTTATGAACTAATATCCAAGTCTACTAAGTATCTAGATAGCACAGACTAGTATTCAAAACATCACAAAGTAGTATCCATATAGCAGATACCAACTACTATCCACAATCAACCAACTAGTATTCAATATGGATACTGTTATGTGATATATGGATACACTTATGTGTTATCTCGATACTAATTATGTGTTGTTTGGATACTATTATGAGTTGTCTAGATATTAGTTTGTGAATTTGGAATAATAGTTGATTCATGGTGGATATCAGTTAGCAAATTTTGAATAATAGTCTGTGCTCTCTAGATATTTTAGTACTTGGATATTAGTTCATGTATTTTGGATATCAGTAAGTGTCTGCTAACGAATCTTCAAGTTAACAAATTAACTTTTCCCTGAATTCGTTTGTGAAGCTAAACTCAATGATGGATTGATGCTAGGCATTCCATCACTTTCAAGTTTCCAGTCAAGAGTGTCATAAATCTACAAGGTTAATGGCCAAATTTTGTATTATCAACGTAAGTTAGCCCTTGCTGTGATGGGGCACCTTTATTCCGTCTCCTCCAGCCCTGGCCTCGTCTTTAAAGATCACAAACAGAAACGTCTGTCTGTCTCTCTCTCTCTCTTCATTTGTTTGGTATATTACCCAAACTATCCTAAGATTTGCTGGACAAAATGCAAAGCATCCCTATATGAACAAGAACTCAATGACAGAGCCCTCTGTGCAGTATAGACTACACACCCATTAGTCTAAATTCCATTCCCAACAAAACTAAAGATAAGACATGTATTGTTCACATGTAACACTATTAGAACCAACACATAGTAATATCATCTAATCAGAAGAATTCACAAGCTACTGAACCACTTCATAAAACCCATTTGCAGGGTGCTGCTGCTCACAGGAACAAGTGCTGGTATTCAGCATTCGCAAGTTGGCAAAGCTGATTGAAGGAAGATGCATCTGTTTAACAAAGTAAACAATGTGTTCAAAAAACCAGCTTTCAGGTAGCATGGAGAGACCTTATAATGGAGGGCAGGACACAGAAATTGTTTACCAAAGTTGTCACCAAAGTTGGTCCATATCTCAGCCTGGATGGACTTGTCAGAATCAGCAATGCCAATGACCTCGACAAAGTTGGTGAGCGGTGTAGATGGCGGGGAGCCCTTTATGACTAGCTGCTGATCATCTGTGGATTTCCCAATGACTGAATCACGCTCGGAATTCAGTACTTGAATCACAGTCCTAACTCTCTTCCTCACATGCATTGGCAACAGGTTTCCATTCACAAGAATAGCAGGGTTTGATGTGTCCATTATCTCTGTACGAATCAATATACACAACACTAGTTTAAAGAATGGCAAGCTGCAAGCATCATGAATCAATAATAATACTTCCCCCTCAAGATCTCCAACATATCACACTCACAAAAAACCTGCAGAGGAACGACATTGTCAAGACAAGACATGCATGTTGGGATCAAAGTACTCGGCCAAGGATACGACCAGTTGATGACATGATCAATTTCCAAAAGCTAAAGGAAATCACAATCAATTGATATGGGCGGGAAACAGTATCACATTGTCAAGACAAGACATGCATGAAGGAGATGGGAGAGATGGCCCAACAGGGAAGTGGATCGGCGGCCGCTTGACGGGGAAGAGAAGATGCGACTGCGGCACTGTGAATGAGAAGAACGGTTGGGAGGCGGTGGTGGTGGTTTTGAAGCAGAAGATCTAGGGTTTGAGAACAAATCAAATAAGAAAAATAAAACAAATTAAGCCCAATTGAAAGAGAGGGCTCAGAAACCCTAATCGGGGTTGAGTTCCCGGGTGAGATAGCTCATAGCAGTCGGTAAACGAGGAACTGGACCAATGGCGGCACTGAAAAACTAGCTGTCCAAGATTCGCTTGGCTCGAGAAACCATAGCTAGCTAGGAGGAAACGGAGAAAAGAGAGTACCAAGTAGAACTGGCCATGCTATGACTTACTGGAGTGATAGTTGGCGGCGGCTTGCAGATGAATCGAACTGCTTTGGATTGCTACTCAACGACAGAAACAGGAAAACTGAGAGAAAAGTGTGGAAGATAGAACTTAGAAGGGGGTGGAAGATTGAAAGCGCGCCAAGGGAGACAGCAAATGGCGGGTTCGGGGACCAAAAGGGCGCCAAAACTGAAAATGGGAACCAAACGATAAAATAACGAGCACTTCTATGCCCCGTTTAGTAATCATAGGAAATTGTTGTTTTCTAAAAAACAAAAGCGGAAGAAAACTTGTTTAGTTGAGAATTATAAAGACTTTTGAAACTGAAATCTGAAAACGAAAACATGTTTAGATACAATTGCCATAACTTGCCTTCTTAAACCAACTTAATCCAAAATATCCAGATACTTAAAATGGTCACATAATACCGCATTCACATTAAGTAACCACAAGGAACATGATAATAACATCCAAATCACTCATACACAAACAAATCACCCTCCACATCCTACAATATCATGCGGAGTATATTCCAAACTCCTCACATCCATGCTTATTAATGCTCCCAAAGCCCTCGTGCATCTACATAGTAATTTACTTTAATCAATTCAAAGTTCCACATAGAAACAATGCGCCCCAAAAGATGGTTCCAGGAGCTGCACATTTCTGCTATATTTGAGAGCACATGAAATAAGAATAGAATTACAGAGAAGGAAATTGGATTTTGGATGCGAGAGGCGGAGCTGAAGAAGCTGAGCCATGCCGGTGAACAAGAATTGAGGCCGAGATGGATACTGATGCGGAGCCAGAGAAGGGTTGATAGGAGAAGCAGATCAGCAGCAGGGGATTGAGAAAGAGAAGGACGGGGTTGGTGACTGTTCTTGGTGGAGGGATATGCATAGTAGTAGATAAAATTGGGGAAGTAAAAATTTGGGGGCGGAGGGACTCGAAGGGGAGACCTCATTAAATGGGAATGGGGGAGGAATCCGCGTCCTTATTCCGGAAACAATGATATTGTGTTTCCTGGAATTACCATTTTTTGGTGCCAAATTGATTCCTCAAATGGAAACAGATGAAAAAGGAATGAAAAGTGAACGCATTTTTTCTTTTCATTTTTATTTTTATGGAAACGGAAGCAGAAAACTGGAATGGGAATGGATACTAAACAGGGCACTAGTGTGCTCTATTTAGGGCTGGCATTTCGATTGCCGGTTAGCGGGTAACCGTCGGTTACAACCGAAAACCGGTCGGTTACAAGCTAACCGAAAACCGACTGGTTACCTTAGCGGTCGGTGGTCGGCTGGGAAAAGGAAGGGGTCGGTTGACCAAGTAACCGACGGTGATTAACCGCGGTTATTCGACAAACCGACCCCAACCGAGACCCACTTAACCTTCCCCAAAATGTGCATATCATCTCCACCTCCACTCTCCTCCTCATACCCTAGATCTCAACAAAACTCTCCCTCCTTCGTCCACCTCGCCTCCGCCGCCGCTTTGCCGTCCTTCTCGCCTCCACCTCTGCGTCGCCGTCCACCTCGCCTCCGCCTCCGCGTCGTCGTCCTTCTCGCCGTCCACCTTGCCTCCACTGCCGCGTCGCCATCCTCGTCGCATCTGCCGCCTCGACTCTCGCTGCACCTCGCGCTCGGCCATGTTGAATGCAGTGGAGGAGATGAGGGCGGAGCCGTCGCAGCCTTTGGCGAAGCAATCGTGGAAGTAGAGGCGCAGGGTTCCGGCGGCTATGGTGGGGCTCTTGTTTTGCTTTTCGGAGACTGCTGCTAGGTAGAGGAAGACGGAGGAGAGGAAAACGAGTAGTGACGTCGGCCACGGTGGTGGTGTAGCCATGTTTGGAGTTTCGTGATGGGTCTGTCTTTGATGGGTTTTGTGTGGTTTGGCTATGGCAGAAGGAAGGAAGGAGGGAGAAGGAAGGAGTGGTGTCCTAGTGGGTTTGAATGGAGAAAGGAAGGAGAGAGAAGGAGGCAGGAGATAAGGTTTGAGTGGTGGGGTTTTTTTGTGTTTTTTTTTTAATAGTTTTAATGAATTTTTTTTTGTGAGAAAGGAGTGCTTTTTCGGGTGTGCGGCTAACCGTGCCAAAACTGATAACCGACCGGTCGGTGGTCGGCTAGCCGTAATGCCTCTCACGGCCGGTGGTCGACATCAGAGGGAGGTGGCTCGGTTTAACCGATAATCGAGAATTTGGTTTTTGGTTAGATCAAACCGACTGACTGATTCCCCTAGCTCTATTATAGCATCCATGCTCTAAAAAATAAAATAAAAAAGGTAACCTTTTGGGAGGTAAACCCACTGAATGACTGCTCTCATATTATTAATGTCAATCTTGTAAATAATGAATCAATGTATACAAGTGTAGGTTAAAATTATAGTTGTACCATATCGTATAGGTACAAGTTTCAGTTGTACCATTGAAAATTTTATTTCACAAAGTGTAGGTACAACTCCAAAAGTGTAGGTATAATTTGAGATTGTACCGTAGGGCCCGTTGGATTAGAGTTTTCATAGAGAGATTTTGACACAATCTCTAACAATGAGGGATTCGTATAAAATTACTTGTTTGGATAACGCTAAAACGATGAGGGATTTTAAACATTAGTGATTTCAAAAACTCTTAAACGAGGGGTTTTCAAATAGCTGATGGCCATCAGCTATTTCTAATCCCTCATCTTTTATTAATTTTTCCAATGTGTGCCCTCCATTTCAGTTCATCCCACAACCCTTCTTCCATTCGACAATGATGACGGCGAGAGTACAAGGATGGCCAAATTCTTCCCAATCTCACCGTCCTCCTGCCTTGACTCCATCTTCGATTTAAAGCTCCCGCCGCCGCCAATGACAAGTTGTTCGGAAGCCCAACCACCATCAATTTGAAGAAACCCAAACCCCCAATCTCTAATCGATGGTAATGGGAGGGTAAGGGAAGAACAATAATCAATGGGCTAGATCCCCAGGAATGAGTGAGATGTTACATAGAGGAAGTGGCCTCTAGGAGAGAGATAAAGCCCACACTGTTAGCGAGTGCGATGGGGTGGCAGGCGAGGTTGTCGTTGCCCTGTTATTTAATCAACTCTGGAATTTGGCGATTGAATGACAGGCCTGCCCATGGGAGGAGATGAATAGTTCGGAGGTACAACTATGAAGAGCTGGCGGTGAATTTATATGGTATGGAGCATATGAATTGTCTGATTGCAGACTCTGGGATTGTGCGACGAGGGAAGATCTTGGTTCCCTCCCACAACCATCTCGCGTACCACTGATCTCCGTTTCTCCATGCGAAGACGAGGCCGAATGCCAAGTAGCGAAGGCGCCGGCCTTTAGCGACGACACCTGGTATCGAGGTCGCCGGCTACCTGCAAGTTATTTTCAGTTTCACGAGTTCGATAAGGTCTTGAGAAAGGAGATTGAAGGTGGAGGAGGAAGAAGACAAGACTAAATTAGTTTTTTATACAATTAATATCCAAATCCCTCCTAAATTGTGATGTCTAACCAAACAAGTAAATTGAGTCAAATAACTCATTTAAATTTCCTGATTTTTTAAACAAGAGATATGGGCCAAAATCTCTCTTAAATATCTCATATTAAAATTCCTAATCCAAACCACCCCATAGAGTTTTATGTGAAAGTGTAGGTACAACATAAAGTTCTACCAAGGTATAGGTACAAGTTTAGGTTGTTTCATAGAAGGATTTTTAGAAAGTGTAGGTACAACTTAAGGTTGTACCATAGGTATAGGTACAAGTTTGAGTTGTACCAAAGAGGGATTTGTTAGAAAGTGTAGGTACAACTAAATTTGTAGCATGATATAGGTACAAGTTTGGGTTTACCATAGAAGGATTTTTAGAAAGTGTTGGTACAACATAAGGTTGTTCCATAAGTATAGGTACAATTTTGAGTTGTACCAAAGGGGAATTTGTTTGAAAGTGTAGGTACAACTTAAAGTTGTACCACAAGTATACGTACAAGTTTGGGTTGTACCATAGAAGGTTTTTTAGAAAGTGTAGGTACAACTTAAAGTTGTACCATAAGTATAGGTACATTTTTTAGTTGTACCATAGAGGGATTAGTTAGAAAGTGTAGGTACAACAAAAAATTGTACCATGGTATAGGTAAAGTTTGGATTGTACCATAAAAGGATTTTTATAAAATGTAGGTACAACTTAAGGTTGTACCATAGGTATAAGTACAATTTTGAGTTGTACCATAAAGGGATTCGTTAGAAAGTGTAGGTACAACTTTAAGTTGTACCATGGTATAGGTACAAGTTTGGGTTGTACCACAGAAGGATTTTTAGAAAGTGTAGATACAACATAAGGTTGTACCACTAGTATAGATACAATTTTGAGTTGTACAATAGAGATATTCGTTAGAAAGTGTAGGTAGAACTTAAAGTTGTACCATAAAGTATAGGTACTGTTTTGAGTTGTACCAAAGAGAGATTTGTTACAAAGTGTAGGTCTAACTTTATGTTCTACCATAGTCTATAGAGGGATTTTTGGGAAAGTGTAGGTACAACTTTAAGTTGTACCATAGTTTAAAGGTTCAAATCTAGAAAGTGTAGGTACATTTTAATTTCATGGCCGTTATTTTGCTAGAATGAGCTGTGAGAATGTTTGAGTGGCAGCTGTGTGTTTCAATTTCACGTGAGATTTTGATGGGCGCGAGAATGTCAAGTAGAAGCTGTGAAATTTCCTAGGACAGTGAGATCTGCTCTTTGCATCTCACGGGACATCTCACGGCCGTGAGATTTGCGTGGGGAATGAAGCACTGCTTTTTACATCTCACTGGAGTATTTTACGGTCGTGAGATTACCAGTACGAGACATTCACCTATAAAACTATCCCTTGTACTTATTATAATGGTGTTTCAAGCATAATGGACTGTTGTCCAGAACTTCAAGCTTATGAAAAAAATTATTCATAATGTTCTCTAAAGCTAGACACCAGCATCACATAGATCCATTCAATATGACTATAAACTAACTTCGAGAAAACAAACATGACAAGTTGTGACATAATGTTCTTTCAAGCTGAACACCAACATTACATGTTGTGCTTGGATCGTTTGGGAAGTAGAATAGTTCTTGAGTATCCACACTAGAAGGGCTCAGGAAACAACCTAAGTAGGAATAGAGCTAGTAACAGTACATCATATCATATGAGATACCCTGTTAACAAAAGTAAAAGAAATCAAAGCATTACATTTGGTCATGGTTTGTCCTCTTGATTGCTTTCCTTGTTTTGGTCATCGTCATTGCCCTCGTCGTCCTCTTCACTGCCCTATTCCTCATTGGTCCTTTTGTCCTCTTGATTGCTTTCCTTGTTTTGGTGATCATCATTGCCATCATAATCTTCTACACTACCCTCTTCCTCATTGGTCCCTTTGTCCTCTTGATTATTTTCCTTGTTTTGGTCATCGTCATTGCCCTCGTCGTCCTCTTCACTGCCCTCTTCCTCATTGGTCCCTTTGTCCTCTTGATTGTTTCCCTTTTTTTGGTCATCGTCATTTCGTCCTCTTCACTGCCATCTTCCTCTTCACTGTAGGGTTTTCAATATGACTAAACCAAGATGAATTGGGGGATCTTGAGCCATAGAGTGGAAAAAGTTCAAATCCCTCTTGGTCACACTTCCGGGACTCCCCTCCCTAGCTGCCACAGAGCGAGCGATAATGTTGTGGATGATACGCCATGGTGGAAGAAGATCATTCCCTTATAGTGGGCAGGGTCAGACTTTTTACATGGTTGCGGTTCAGCATACTCCACACATTATCGACCAATGGTGCTCTTGCTCGATATATTTTCTCTGAAATCAAACCATGTCCATCTGTGGTGAGAAATCCTAGTGGGTATATCTGCAGTGCCTCTGTGAACTCAGTGATGCTCATCTGTCTCACCTGTCCTCCAAGGCAAAAAGTTTTGTTGTCGTGCTTGTCGAGTGTAAACTTAGTTAGTAATTTTATGGAGAGAGTGCCGAGGAACTCAATGCTCTCGGTAGATGACCTCATTGATGGAGAGAACGTCACACCATGCCGAGAGACAGAGGCATGTGCGAATGGGCTTTGCTGCTCCTAGGCGCTCTAGGAGACCCCAATCAAATCATCTTTGCTACCCAAATGGGAGGGGAAGGAAGCGTTCCATAGCCCTCCTATGTTAGCCGGGTACTTAGAGGAAATCGTGCAACACCCCTCCTCCAAGTTGAGCCTCCGGTTGTGGTGGTGGAGATGGTTGATGTGCCCGTCTTGGTTGTGTTTTAGTTTTTGTTTGAAGGGAGTGTCTCGTGGTTAATGTGCCTTAGGTATTTAGTATGTGTTACACTTAATAGTAAACTAGTTCAACTCCACTTCACATATATGCATTTCATATCATATATTGCAGCTAGTATTCAAAGCCAGTATTCAAATTGTACTGTAAGCACTAAAGTAAACTAATGCAAGAACATGAACAAAGAACACGTATACATGTTGTCTTGTCGAAAAAGGGGAAACAAGCTAACCAATTGGAAGCAACATTCAACATAGAAAAGAAAATTTATATTGTCAGAATCACAGATTGATCAACAAGTAGAAGTTGTTCTTAGGTATGGAATAAGCTACCTGAGAAGTAACCATTGAACCATGAGAAAATAGCTATATCAAATCACTTGTCTTGAATGAAAAAAGAACCTCCATATGGAGACAACGGCAAACAAACAGAGATTCAATGTACCAAATTGAGCAAGTTATGGCAACTACAAGTGCTAAGTTACACAATCCAGCTTGACAAAGATAAAAGGCGGCAACTTACTGCATCGGTGTGTATTGTCTCGTGCCCTCAGGTGTTTTGTTTTGCTATAACATATTCCAATGCCCCTCTCGGCTCGTCAATTTTCCCATTTTGGATCCAAATGCTTTGCAATTAAAAAGCCATGTTAAAATATGAGCCTCCAACATTTGATCTCTGCAATTTTACCACAAACAACACCCCCAACTCTATTGAAAAAGATTTCCAAATGGTAGCAAGTGGAGGCCGAAATATAATCACTCAACAAATAGAAGTAGCTTGGTATACACATCTGGAAAAACTACCCAATACCTTAACCAATCCATACACAGCTTAGTCCAAGTTTCAATTTCATCAAAATTGATATGGAAAGGACCAAAATCTTGCTATGCAAAGATGAGGCAACTAGATATAGACATCAGCAAATACCCAACAAGGAAGCAACTTCACCAACGCAAGAAACTAATTGAAACAAATAATTTGCTCTTTGGGACAATAAATCAAAAAGGTAGAGTGAATGCAAACGCCATTACCTAGCATGGACAAAGGAGGCATATGGAACCGACATCCTAGGGGGAGAGTGGTCGGGGTTGCGAGAAGGATAGGTAGGAGAAGAGGGTTCAGAGAGGGTTGGGGGTCGGAGTGGAACAGAGGGAGAGGAGTTTCAAATTTTAATCCGCAGAGGTTAGTTTTTAGGGTTCCCATCTTACGGCTTCCTATCCTGGGCGGGAGATTGCCAAGTCCAACCTGTGAAACTCACTGGGAATTTCAGCACTATTTTTTTACATCTAACATGACATCTCCCAACCGTGCAATTTCGGTTATGAGGCGTGATAAATTGGGAGTGGTTTCCATCTCACGACATATTCTCCCGTGCGTGAGAATGTAATTCCCAAGCCGTGGGAATTTTCTGTCCCTTTTCTTGATCATTTTCATAGCTTAGTCTCCCGGGTGTGAGAATTTAATTACCAAGCCGCAGTCAACCTGGGTTTGAACGAGCAGCTGTGAACATAACACAGATGATTCTAACGGCCGTGAGAATTTACACAGCGAGCCGTGATAAATTCGAGATCCTTTTTCGTTCCATTTTCACACCCCTGTAATTATCATAATGGTGATTGAAACGAGCACTTCTACTATAGCACCAATACTATATACCATTGTAAAATTCCTCGATTGAAACATGTAGTTTATGAAAGATGAGTCATAATGTTCTTCAAAGCTAGACACGAGCATTACATAGATCCATTTAATGTCACTAGATATTAACTTGGAGAAAACAAACATTACAAGATGAGACATAATGTTCTTTCAAGCCAAACACCAACATTATAGGTTGTGTTTGGATCGTTGGGGAAGTAGAACAGATTCTTAAGTCTCCAGATGAAAGCTGCTTTCACCTGCTCCTATGGACTCGAAGTTTTATTCCTGTTGCGTGAAATGACTATCGACTGCACCTGCTTCAGCTATTCTTTTCAGCGGGCAATTTCTGATTGTATGTTTAGGAAGCCTGCAATACTTGCATAATCGTCTTTTCACTTGAGGTTAATTCACATTCCCTTTACTTCGAACTGGATGGGGGTCCTTAATAAACTGAGAGGAGTTCACTCCAGCATTCGTAGTAGCATTATTTGTTTTGCTGGCTGTTTCTTCACTTATTGT